TCTCTCCAAATGTAACTTTTCATTTGACTTAATTTACTGTTCCAAAACTTGTTATAAATTTATCATACGCCCAGTATTAGTATAGGAGAGTTTTAAAGTATTGTAAAGCTATCATAGTTTAAATCATGAACTGACCTTAGTTTGACCACAATTGAAAACCTGAAAAAACCAGACGGCCATTTCTTTATGTTATGGAACTTTTAATCAGTGCACATCCACAAACCCATATCCGGGAATCAAACACATGACCTTCGATGATCATTCACTCATAAACTGTCTTGATTGGTTTAATAGTTTCATCCACACAAAAATATTCTTGTATATTAGCGTAAAGTCTGATGAAGACCAAATTAAAAATAATGTTGTTCCGAACTACGAATAACAAAATCATCAGTAATTAGATGGTTACCTGAGGATTAAACACCCCAACAGTATGCTAATAAGAGAGATATTTATTTAAATATACTCGTTTCGTTAGTTAGTTATTGATCATACAAAGGTAATACTAAAAAGTTATCAAACGAAAACTTAGAAAACGAATTATCCACAAGGAAATTGTGACAGTTGGTAAATGATTTTACATTGTTTACAAATTTCTGATTGGATTAGATTGCGTATTCATCGTGAACTGATGGTCATCGAGGAAAAAGAATGGAAGCTTAGGAGGGGCTGAAAATGACATTACTATGAAGGAATTCTGTAAGCTACTCAGTGTAAATAAAAAGCTAATACCCTGCTACGTTTGAAAATATTACGATATCGCTTAAAACCAGCGAAACGGGACGAAGTCAATAATACAGTAACAGGACAAGCTACGTTATTCCACTGAGCCACATACCTGATAACTCAAGGGAGAAGACCTGATCCAGCCCGGAAAAAAATACATTCCACAAGCAGCCAGAAGCATGAACGAACAAACACACAACCGAAGGGTCTATAATACAGTCTCAAATTATCCTTGGACAAAGTCACAAAATAACTTATTAAGAAAGGAAACGAACCAATGACATTTAAGTTTCTTCCAAGTGGAAAATACAAAATGAAGGTAAAAGTGGGCGATTATGGTGTAAAAATGGGACGTTTACCAATTGATTTCTAGGGATCTTGTATCCCCAACACTTCTAGCCTATTGTAATCCTCTTTATTGGACTTATAAATTATCTACATTATTCGATGCCTGATAAGCCCCCAAATGCCTTGGTACGGCCTAGAGTGAGGAGAGTCCGCTCTCCCTCTCGAAATGCTCTCACACAGCCACGCGTATATAGCCTCTGCTAGGGAAGTCCTACTCATCGCCTTCTCGCACCATGGGTGTTGTTTACGAAAATGAGAGGACGAAAAGCGAATGTCTGGCGCTTTAGCCGGATCCCAAACCAATGGTGCACATGGGCTCCAGTATCCTGAGGGAATAAATGGCGTATGGACCAATCGTTGGTCACCGGCTACCATGGAACTGCATCTCCTTACGATGCTCCACTACCTTGTGAATCAGGCCTTCAGGTCGTAGGCTCAAGGAGTGGCTCCCTAAGAAAACCACCTGCTTCGTTTTGGGCACTCGGGCAGTATCACAGCCCTCACACATAGCGAATGAGATTTGTGTGGCGCATATGTATTTGGTGCCTCCTTGTACCAATATCTATGTGTTAAAATAAATAAAGATATGGTAAGCAATGGAAACAGAGGGAGATTCAAATTCTCATCACAAATTTAGAAAATCATTATTACCAAACATGTATGACTTTAAGAATTATAGAATTCCTTAAAACATTTAACTGCAGAATGCGAAATACAACTGATATGTTGTGTGGAATTATGCTCAAGTATCATTTTGTTTTAAGTAATGTTGTTTACATTCTTATAACTACTTTTAAATAAATTAAGTAATCAAACTTATAAGTAATATTCATGTTTAACAATCGAAGTATTAAATACAAGAAATACATTATTGACAAATAGCTCTCTCTCTTTTAAATGCAACAAGCATGTATATCATATGTGTAGTAATAAGTTGAAAACGTACAAATGGAAGTTATTTAATCATTTCATAAAGGCGTGGAATTTGTAACAATAAAGATGAAAGCTTAAACTTATTATGATTCATTATTATTCAATGTAAAGTATCAGACAATATAATTATAAGCCATCTATGGAATGAAATGTATGATTCTTGTTATACCATGTGATAAGTAACTTATTTAGAATAGAATTTGGATCATATGATAGAAAGGAATTATTTGTCAAATTATTCAGATCAAAAGAGAATAATAATAAAATATGTTTTATGAATAAGAGTTAATAATAATATACTCGATCACTAATGAATCATAAAAGAATCCCTAAAGTTCTGTCGATAATCCATACCCCTAAAGTGATTCTAAACAAATTAGTAATGAGATAGATATAGCTGATGAAAATGGATGATGGTTGTTTAGTACAGTGAAATGAATAAATTTAAGGAATGTGAAACATTGAATATCAACTCAGTGAGATAATCACTGTGAAACTTAAACGTATTGATGTTATATCCCTGATAGGGAGTAGTGAGTGCCTACTACTAATGGAGTGATTTTCTTGTGCCGCCCTTGGTATTTAAAAATTATCAAGGGAAGTTCTGTCTACGTGATATGATGAAAAAACGTAAGTTTTGAGTGTTAACTATTTATCCTATTAAATATTGTCCACAAAACGACTAGGAAACATTTAAAATGATTAAAACTAAATGTGGTGACAACCTGATTATTTTGTGACCGACTATTAATTCTGTTAATGATACGTTTTAGTATTGATTCCTACTTCAACACGTATATAAAGTGTAGGTTGAAGAGACATACGTGGAAATGTTTTTTAGTTATTCAGCAATAGCAGGAGTAGTGATGAACGGTGGTGTCTGACAAATAACGTCATCGATTAAGAAAGATCGGTCGGCCTCTTGTGTCATTTTTGAAATGTCCGTCTTCCAACTTATGGATGAGTATACTACAGAGCACTACACTTTGTAATACCCTGTGGTTATAAACTATGGTCTATGAAAGTAGAAAACATGAGTGGGATTCAAGGATACAACCATACGTGCCTTTAACATCTGATAGGACGGTATTCAAATCAGGCATAGAACACTAAGACAGGATGGAGGATCAACTGATAGAGTTATAAATTAAAGTAATTGGGACATGTATTATATATGCTTGTAAACCGCCTATTTCGGCGGACGATCTCCGCTAGTAAAGAACTAGGTTGGAAGGGGAGCACCGAGACTAAAACATGGGATCACTCCGTGATGTTACTGAATGTTGATCAGAGTCATCTTGGTAGATGGAGACTGCCAAACTGAAGTCCGAGGAATAACAATCAGAATCCGTCACAGTGGATAGAGTATATTCATGTTATAGTTTCCTTCAGATCTTGATTTCTAGTACTTATTTATGTATACGTCTTTATTCTGTCTTTTCGTATCATATTCTCAATGTCCAGTTTCTCTCATTGTTATTACTACTGCATTATTTCGACTCCTTTGGTATATATCTTAGTAATTTAATGTCGTTGTGCGAACGTAGCACGAAAATTAAAGGCAATGGAAATTTGTGTGAGGGTATACTTTGATTATGATTAACTGACTGATACAAAGGAATAAAGAACGGCCGCTGGATTATAAGTTTCATGGTCTAGGAGCAACTTGGTCTCAGCAAAAAGCAGAGTCTTCAGAATCGATACAGTCCAAGATCATGAGTAAAACTCCAGATTAGAACAAAACAAGCTAATCAGTCTAGTGTTTGATAGCTCCTAATCATTCTACAGATAACTTCAATCCGTAGCAAAGGTTTTCCCCATCAAAAGACAAAAAATAGCAGGTGCATTTTGGAATTCTTTAACAATAAACTGTTGTTCCATGTGTATTAGAGAAGTGCTATCAGGTGAACTATCAAAAGGTCATGATAGCTTGTGTGTTATATGTTATATTGTGTGGAAAATATATATCGTTTTTACTAGTTGTACGAGTTTACATTTCACTGTAACCAACTTTTACAATACAGTATAACCAGTCTCTGTCAATATTTGACTTTATCTGTTAAGATAAACTTGAATACTGTCACATGCAGGATTAAACATCATCGTGAAGGATCTATTAACGAAAATGAACTAATTGTGATGAACTTGATTAATTTAAAAAGTGATCACAGAAGTCTAAGGAGAAGAGATTTCATAAACGTAATGAACGATGAATAAATAGTTTACTAAGAAATTTCGTCTAAATTTGATCGAATAGTTTTACAGTATTTGGGTGCTGAGTTGATGTGAAACTTTAAAGAGGAAGAATGTATTTGTAAAATCTCGGCGAAAGAATCTGAAGTAAATACAACATTTCGCCTGGTAATCTGGTCCAAGCTTATTTCCAGGAAATATTTCCTTAAATTTACTATCTGTCTTAATGGTAACACTGTATTTTCAACAGTACACATTGTAATTTCATAGGTCTATCCAGTTTAATGGAAAAAACACACCTAATAATTCACTAAATGATGAAATGAAAGAAAAAATGTGCAGTTCATGTAGATGCTTTTAGTGACGTATTCTACGAGCTAGATGGTTTAATTGCAGTGGTTTCGTTATTGTCTATCATCATTAGTTCCTATAACACATATAACACCATTAAATACAATAAATGAATCATAGAATAACTAAACACATACACACGAAACTATTAAGTAATCATGCCAACAAATAATAATAGTAAAGTTCATTCAAATCGGTGACTATTGGAATGACCATGGTTATGACACGGACGACGCAATTGATGACCTTGGTCTTGAACTGTCTATGAATTTGATGAGTTCATTTCGCAACTAAAATAACATATACTATTAAACAGACTGAACATTCATAAAATCTGCATTCTAGATAAATCATAATTTGTTGTGTACGAGAAATAAAAAGTAATCAATATATGGTAGGTAAGTAGCTATTTTGAATCAATAAATCAGAAATCAATAAAAATTGGTAACTTTTAAGAGCTGGAATTATTTAAATATGATGAAATATGAAAGGGAAAAAAATCTTTCAACGCGACTGTAGTTGATGGACAACTCTCCAACGATTCTTAAGTGATCTCAAGAAATTTTAATCACTTATTAGCTTGGACCAGATTGCCAGGCGAAACGTTGGATTTAATTCAAAATTCTTTCGCTGAGATTTTACAAATACATTCTTCCTCTTTAATCACTTATTAGTTTCAAAATTGGGTTATAAATAAGAGTTAGGGTTCTCATCACCAAATTAAATAAGCTGTAATACAATAAGGCATTGGGCAAAAGTCCAAGAGGCAATATCTTGAATTTGACTGGTTCGTTTATGATTAATAGTCTCAACAAAGTAATGATTTTCGAGGAGGACTAGTCCAATTTGAAGATGGTATTCTTTGTTTTACGAATCAATATTGGTTGTATAAGCAATAAAGAAAGCAGGAAAAACTGGATGCAGTTGTTTATTTTTTTAAAAAATTCGGATTTTTTGATGGAGCATATACAAACAGGATTGAATCATTTCATGTCTCATGGCCAGTATAATATACTCAAACTATTTAGATTGAAATTAAGTGATCGATAATTAATTATTGATGAATATAAAGAGATATTTTACTCTTGACATCATTGATATCTGCCGGTTACGACCAGCTTTTAATGACTCTCTGTGGTGATAGTTATCTTAGGAGAATCATTACGCTAATCAATAACTGTACGTTTATTACAAGCTAACTGAGCTTAAAATGTATTCTCAGAACTCTAGTAAGAAACCTTGACTCAAAGCGGTCAAAAAAGAGTAAGGAGTGAGATAAGAATAAATCAATAACGTATTCATTAGCATAAGACATGAAGGTGCTAAAAATGTAAGACTAAATAGTTTGAAATTGATGGAAATCGGTGGTCCACTGATTTCCTATGACTATCTATTTGACATTGATATGCAATGAAGGCATGTCTTTTTATGAAAATAATAATCAAACCACGATAGCAGGCTTTGATGTTTACATTTGAACAATAATATTTGAGTTATTAATTTTAGAATGTATATATTCCGCTTTAAGTCATACTACTTCACGTGTACAAAGTTAGCAGCAATAAATTGGTAGGTTGGCGGACATCTTTGGAACCGATTGACAGAATTTTTTCATGGAATCTAAATATTACAAGTTATTTAATATCTATGCTCCTAAACAATCGATTAGCTGAACTAGACAAAGAGTAAGAAGATAGAACTGTTGAGGGAATCTGTACTGCAATATACTGAGTTAGAGTAATTAGAACTCATGTGTATTTATACGTAGACAGATTTAATTTAACAAAAAAGAAATGTCGACGATGACTCTGGGTACGTAAATAATAAGCCAATTAAGTAGTGAAATAATAACTTATCTGGTTTAAATGACATTACACAAGTTAGTGGTTAAGATCAAGAATCACCAGACATCTGTTACGTCCTAGAATGAGACTTCGCAGAAGTATGCTTTTACAACTTAATCGGGGATTAATATCCAGGACCTTGAGGTCTTGTGTTAAGCGCTTAAGCTTTAGACCACTGTGTTAGTAATTCAGTGGTTCATATTCCTGAATGAGGTGTATTCGGGATATTGCGTAATCACCTCTTAATGTTCTTGGTGGGCAAATGCCCGACATCCTACCAAAACGAACTTCACTGGTCACAGATTCTCACTGTCGATGAGTCACCCAACACTAGGATGAAACCACTGTCCAGTGCATCCCGATTTTCAAAAGTTATTTAACTGAATTCAGTTTGTGATACAAACTATAAAATTCAACAATCTTCAAAAACCCATAGTATCATACACACATAATTTTAACGTAAAAAAAGAACACTATTTCACTTACCAAAGATACGAAACTGCTTTTTTTCAGTAGTATATAAAAGTTGATACTCAAGAAATGAATAGGATTATTTTATTCTGGGAATAAACTTGAAGATGACACATATCTAATTGACGACTTCATTTAGAAAAAGAAAACTGTACATATTTATATTATATATATCACCGAAGTTAACGAAATAGAAGAAATTAAGTGAGAGGATCATATGATAATTTATATAATTGTAGACGAAGAATTATTCTTATGTTTATTCGACACATTAGTAGTAACTTGTGAATTCTCAGGAATCGTTGAACATATACTCACTGAAGGGACGATATTCTTACTATTACTATTATTAGTAGTGTTATTGCTATTATTAAAGATGGTAGATGATGGAACAATGAAAGTACTACTCGTACTAGTAGTCTTATGATTATTTAATCCATTTGAATTAGTCAAATTTGTATTGGTTGAAAAATTATGATTGTTACCAATTTTGCTGGTCGATGATTTAGCACCTCCAATAGAATGAGATAATGATGATGTTGACAATGAGGATGACATATTCGGTAGTGATGATGATGTAGATAATCCATATTCATGTACAATACGTAGTAATTCTTCCCCTTTAGACGGTGGTAAAATTTCACTAGTATCACGTAACACTGTAACCGGACGATTGTCATAGCATTCAACTAAGATATGCTTAATGACATGGTTCGGAATATGCTGTTATGGTTGATGAAACAATTTAATGGGGGGATAAAGAGAAGAAACCAAACAAAATCAGAAAAAAACATTGAATGGGAATAGAAAATACATAATTCAACGAAAAAAACCCAGAAACGAGTCATACATTTAAATATTTCGCGAGAAAACTAGTAACTGAACAATAATTAGAGTAATAATAATAGTACTAGTAGAAGAATTTTCTTTCATCTACTGTCCTTGACAGACCTTAATACCATAATTATGAGTATTTCAATCTGTAGACTAAATAGTTTTCGTCTAAAAGATCCAGGTAATTATCAAGGTAATAATTTTATACTGTTAAGTAGAATAAGAAAACTCAATTTATTAATTTGCGTGTGTTGATATTCAGGATTGAAATCGATCAGTCTATATCAGCCATCTGTACCTCTTAGGGGGATAGAATTGATAAATGACTTTGGTTATAAGTTTTAAGAGTATTTGGAATGCAGTTACCAGTAGGGCCGGGAAGAATGTGTTGGCTTCTTGAGTCTTATTGATTGTATTATTAAAGAAGTTATTGGCTACCTGAATTCAATAACTCAAGAGAAAACGCACTGAGAAAAGTAGTAAGCTTAAGTTCTTGTGTGAACAACAATCGTATGAAGGTATTACGAAGCGATTCGTTCAAAGTGGTCTATAAAGTGTGATCTGAGGTCCATCACCTATCAAAAATATTTAGTTAGATTTTAATAAAGTCTTTATCATGGATTAACAGGTGTCAGGGAGTCACTGAATAACCAAACATGTACAAACAGATGGTTTACCTCAGTTTGGGCACAGTGCACATTGACGATCCTGTTATTCGATGAGCTTTGAGTGTTTAGAGTGCATTAGTTCTAAACCATTGATTTTGGTGTTACATCAGACTTTAAGGACAATCGATTCTTAGTAATATCACAGTAATTAGTTAACATCATTTAGTCGTATTATTATACATTGGGTCAAACAATTATAACAATGATTGATGGCATAATTCATTCATCCGTTCGCTGAATATTACAGATCCTCAACTACTTTTTTACATTATTTAATTACAGCTCATAAAAATACTTTAAATTCTCAACATATATATGATAGTTTGAATGAAACCTGAAACCTATTGAACCGGAAGAACAATGAGACTCGCAGAAGGAACATTATATTTGCATATATACATATTGTAAAACTTCATAAGTATTTCTCATCATTGACCAGGTTAAGATAAGCAAATTCAGCTTTGAGTAACAACTTGAGTGTAGAAGTTAAAGATACTACCCGCTTTCCAAAACTGAAGTAGGTGGAGAATGGTTCGAACAAGCGACATAGTAGCTGAAGGCTGAATGTTTTCACCACTGAACTACTGCTTGGAACCGTGAAAATAATCATTTAAGAATAACTTTCTCTTTTAAATGTCGCATGACTTGATTTGCATATATAAAAATAACAGTGTTGATACATTTTATCCTATCGTTTGTTTATTTTATAATCACACAGCCATGCGTAAACAATAACTATCAACAATCATAATGGTACTATTATCTAAGATAATACATAGAGACTCCACCTATATATCGTTTTAATTACATGTAATTTTCAGCCGGTAACCTTTATTTTAAATTAAGGGATATATATATATATATATGTATATATAGAGAGAGAGGTAAGAAAGACAAGCACATGAATTCATTTATTGTCTTGTCATTGTACAAACCAACTGGGTGACGTCTATGATACCGATATAGAATAAAGGAGTCACGTAACAGTGATCGTTATCGGTTAAGCCACTTGTACAACTTCATGCGGTTTATTTAAAGTGAAACTGGGTCGTATACTGTTAGCATTCATACTTATAAAAAATTGATTTGGTAAATGAGTAACAGCAATTAAGTAGTGTGTAATGATAAAACGTTATTTACCGGCAAATAAACTTAGTAGTAACGATGATAACTTAATTTTACAATATTTATATCATCTAGGTTTCTTCATTATGATTTTAATAAGTAAGGAAACTAGATAGTCTTAGAGAATCAAACTATACAGACACAATTTCACTACTGATGAGTGCCTCGTAATTCGGTTTAACAATGTCTAAGTTTTTCTTAGTCATATTTCATACTCCATTTTATTCTGTAACTTAACGTGTCCCCCAAATACGACCGAGAGTATGGAGAGTCCGTGCTCCCTCTTGAAATGCTCCTACATGGCCACGCGTATACAGCCACTGGAAGGGAGGTCTTACTCACTGCCTTCTCGTGGTGGGGGTGTTGTTCATTAAATTGAGAGGACAAAAAGAGAATGTCCGAAAATTTAATCGTGTTAGTGGATATGGAGGATCCACCTAGGTGAGTTGAGAAACCCTGATTCCAAACCAATGGTGCACATTGGCTGTCGGCTCCTGAGAGTATAAATGGCGTATGAATCTATTGTTGATCACTGTTTACCATGGGACTACGTCTTCTGACGTTGTTCCACTGCCTTCTGGATTAGACCTGTAGGTCAAAGGTTCGAGGAGTGACCCCCTAAGAAAATCACTTGTTTCGGTTTGGGCACCCAGACAGTATCCGAGCCCTCACACAAATTCAATCATTTGTGTGGCGCATATATATCTGGTGCCTCCTTGTACCAATGTTTGTATGCTTAAATAAATAAACAATAAGTGTGAATATCGATTTTAGTAGAATCTATATAATAACAGAAAATACATTTGATATGATTGAAAATGGTTTTACATGTTGGTTTTTTTTCTCTAAAACCTTGTACCATTTTACAATGCATCATATTCAACTAGTATACACTCTAAAACTAAGATTTACTTTACCCTAATAATAATTTATAAGCCAAAACTGTGTTGATTTGGTACTCTAGACAAAAATTCCTACTATTCAAGATTAGTTCAGCTACCAGAGGTATTTACAAGTAAAAAGTAAAATTCTGACAAGTTTTATATGTTAGGTAACACATGATACGATGAACTCTCAATATGATTTTGTAAGACGTTTATATAGGATTAATTTTAATAGTAAAAAAATAAAAGTTATATACACATAACTAACTTTAATATACAACCATCTCACAGCGAATTCTCCTCTAAATCGTAAATCTTGCCATATTGTAGAACGCTTTTGTGGATTAACCGGACTGATCATTTCAGCAACTCCAGTTAGATATCCAGATTCTCTAACTGAAAAAAATAGAATAATATGTCCAGGAGAAGAGTTTATGTTAGTATTAAATGTAGATGTTGAAGTTCTTTTTGATTTGGTCGAGTTCTGACCATTATTTGCCGTCGGTATGGTTGAAGAAATAGTTGTTATTGGTATAATTGGATCGTTTGTATTGACTTTCGTTCTTGAAACGTTAGCTGTATCGAAGTTTACATTGTTATTGGGTGTATTTGTATTAGTGGTGATAGTACACGTGGTAGAACAAACAGACAAGATGGGTGCGGTTGTAACAACAGCAGGCGACTGGTAAAAAAAAAAATAAACACCGAACAAAATAACAAAAGACACTGTCAAAAGGAAAGTTCTGAAGGGAATAAAATTAGTTGGAAGGTAGTTGATATCGTTGACAGCATTTAGCTGAACAATCAGTGAAAACCCGGGGGATACTGAACAACTTTTTTACTCTATAATGAAATTCAAAATGAGTGCATAGCCATGACCTAATCAGAAATCAATTACACTAGACTTTCAAGTCTCATAAGATGTGTGTAACGTTTAGACCATTGATAGATAGAATAAAATGATTCAAATTTCTAACTTCGATGAATTTGCAACATTGTGTTGACATCATCTATTTCAACTGATAATACCTGTTTTGTGTTCAACGTGTTGTTAGCCACATTTTGACAAAAGATATTTTTGAATTTCATCTTGTAAACTATAATAAACAACTATGAATAGAAATATCTGGTAATGTTTCGACGATAATTTTTCTGATAGTGTTTCTTTCAAATCAAATTCTTTCTTTTTCTATCCTTTTTTTTCATCTGTCTACGGTAAACGAAAAATGGAATACTATCTGAAGTAGCATCAATAATGTCTTGATATTATTATGATAACATTTTGAAAAACAATGATCCAGTAGGTTATAAATTAGAGAAGAGCACATATACACATACAGTCTTTGTGAAACATTGGTTTTCTTTAAAAGATTTGTATAGAATAGTGAGTTTCTATTTTTAAAAAAGAGCGGAAAGTAATTCCTTCATAATGTAAAAGATGAATTTTTGTGATACAATACAATACAATGCATGTGTGTGTAGATGGAAAATTTATAAGAATGAAATATAAAGAGGCACGAGTTATTTTTTAAATACATCTAAATAATAGACTGCAGTGGAATCCACGAGGTGGATCTCATACTATACTAAAAAAAATTTGCGGCACAATGGCTATACTGAGACAGTCCATTCAAGATGCATATACATCAACTAGGAATGGTCAAAATCCGAATTTAAATATCAACAATCAGATAATCAAAATCCTTTATAACAACCATGTGAATATAACACCCATTGAATATGCTATTGGACATCTGGGTGACATGGGTCAATCGATAATGTATTGTTATTTGAAATGAAAGAGAGCAGGATTGAGTCTCAGTATGAACACTGAGATTAGATTGCCTTTTTGACTGAAATGAGTTATATTATGCAGTCACAACCTGTAGCTTTTGTTGATTTCATCTGTAATGGTTTGGATTATTCCGTTGTTGATATTTTGAATAAATTTCGATCAGTTCAAGTTGGGACATAAACGTCTTGTACAAATTGCCTGGATTTAGTGATTACGTTACAAGTTAATAAGTGGATAAAGTGTTAGGAATCTGAAGCGAAAGGTGATATTTTTTAGTTTCAATGTGAACACCAACACTGAAATGCATGTGAAAGTAGCTGAGGAGTCACAAATGAGACGAAACGCGACCTCAATTCCACTGCTAAACATCATCCAACTCTGTTCAAATATAATAAGTTATGTGTACATCTTATTATTCCTCTTCAAAAGTCAGCCACAAATACTTCAGATGGTAGACAGCTGAATAATCATTATCATCATCATTAAGAATACATGAATTCACCTTATTCTTCGACGACTATTATAATTACTCTTTTTGAACAGTATAAAAAAGAAACTAGCAAACAACAAATGAATTAAATCGATATTATGATTTTTCTTCTCTTTTTCTTCAAGAAAAAAGAAAATAAAGAAACATATTGCACGTAACACTACGCACGAAAGGACTAAGAACTCACATCATTTGGGCATTGAACAGGATTGTTAGTTGGGCGGGATTTATTATTATTATTATTAGTAGTAGTAGAAGTAATTCCTGTTACTTCTTCATTACTATCTGATTGTAGCTTACTGTTATGAACTAATTTCGATTCATCAGTGATAATGTTAGTATTATTATTATTATTATCATCATCATTACGACTATTGACGTTTTTAGCAGAGGTGGTGGTGGCGGTCGTTGTTGTTGTTATAGTCACGGTAGAACCATGTACTGATTGATACGCTTCATCCAAACATTGATTACCAGTACGAGTTGAGCACCAAACACCATATTTTATAGATTGGTGTACATTGTACACATAGTCTGATTTAATAATGAAATAACGAGCTCTATGCACTAGTGATGCATCGAAATTCACTGGATTAACACTGAATATAAAAAAATTTTAAAAAATAGGAGGCAATAAATAACCGATAAAGATGGTCAAAGTTTCCTACACAACTTATGCTAATAAGTACCATGATACGTTTTTAACTGGAACACCAATATTATTTACACGGCTGATTATTTAAAGATATACGAAAATGATAGAGTACTTGCAGGTGATTGAAACCAATGAAAAGTAGTACTCAGAACAATTTACGGCATGTCAGAACAGGTAATTTCCTCAAGAATGTACAGGAGATACAATACATAATTTAACACAAATCAGCATGAACAATGTGTCATACTAAAATTAATCTTAACAAATATCACCTGCAATAATGAGGGAACTGATGTTTCTTGGAGGATTCGAGCCCGTGTCACGCAACTTCAGTCAGAGACATTAGTACTTACTGACCTATCGGGGTCACAACTGATCTTCTGTAGGACTGAAATGTATTTATAATTGATTGATCACCGAATTGTGAACAATGTCATATATACCAAGTCCATTTTATTGCTGATCAAATTCTATTGACCAAGTTGCAATATGTTCACTAGTCTAACCGACTCAACACCGGGTGCACTGTTTTGAAATGTGAGGTCGGAGTACTCAAACCGTGGATCAGTGGTTAAAGCATTCGAAGTTTAGCCACTAAGTCTCAGGCTCGGACCTTGCTCCGTCCACTAAGGTTTCAGTAACCGTATCACTACCCTTATACGTACAGTATGGTTTGCAGCTAAGTACCTGGTGAATGAGATAATAATGACAATAACAATAACAATAATATGATAGGGATGATGAGTAATAAGGTGCTAAGTATTTGTATTAAGTAAATCAGTAATACACAAATCTTATTGATACTAATCAATATCTATTACTGATGTAATGTACAAAATATGAAATAGTCTATGCCAACAAACGCACACAATACGTTTTTTTTGGTTTATTGATATTCATTTGTTCACGAACGCACGGAAACATACATAAGCATGCACAAGCCCATAAATACACACCCAGTATAGGTTTTATCAAGTTATCAGAGATTCTATTCATGCTAAGTTATGTATGTGTGATTGTGAGTTTGCGTGTATGATAGAGAGAGAAACGTGAAATACCAAAATGTAAAGCAAATGATTTTCTACAAATTATATCATTCTCCAACGCCATGTATACTGAAGCATTTCATACTTTAATGAGCTTTCAATAAATAATTTTCAAAACCTTTTGCAAACAAATTTATTTTATTTGAGACATTGTCAAAAAAAATACACAACTAACAAGGTCAAATTTTATAAACCTAACCGTTGACAATATGTAAACTCTTAAGTCTTGTAGAGATTCGGAAACTGAATGTTCAGATGTCATCGCTTTTCGATTTACAGACAAAACAACCTATAGAAGGCTTCAACAGACTGTTTGCTATTCTCTGACTACCCAACATCTGACCGAGATTTTTCGAGATTGTTTGAAGGTCATTCTGATAACATATTTGGAATTGTCACTGCTTAAACCACTTAATTACATTGGTTATAGAGTAACGGAAAGAAGGTACAATAAAATATATTAAACATTACTGTACAGTTCCATCTAATTCTCCAAGTGATTAAACTCAACAGACTACAGCTGCTTCTTATTAAAATGTCTGGAATTCACCCCAAGGAGGTTTACCACTTTAAACGATGATTAAAAGTAATTTTATGGATTAATAATAACTATTAATATTATTAGCACAGACTAGTTACGTTTAGAAGTACAAGTATATCTTATCTTCATTCCAGTTAAATAAAGACATTTTTATGTATAAAATAATATTTAGCAAATTTTCCAAAAGTAATTATCAAATGACTGTTAATAAGTAATTTTCCGGGTACATATTTGGGTACTTGGCTCTGAATCCCACTTCAAGTGTAAGGACTAGTGATATTACCCATCATCAAACTTAAGTGGGTGGACCAGAGTTCAATGCCACAGGTTACTGGTTGAAATTTGAACGCCTAAACTACTGAATTACCGCTTTACAAAATAACTGAAAAGTATTCGTATGAAAAATTTACACTTGGAAAACAGTGATAATTTATTTTAGTGGTAAGAATATAACGATAATGTTCATAAAACACTTCATTGCATCCGACTAAATTATGAATTGCATTACCAGCGTTTAACGATGACACAATGTCGATTGTTTAATAAGTCATTCAGTATACAGACTGAGATTATGATCTTAAGAGATGAACGGTAGCTAGCAGTGAAATGTAGGATGTGCGTTTCGTCCCGCTTTGGACTCGCCAGCTTGATGTACTTGTACCTCAGAGTTGTTCTTTCCAGGATTCGAACACAGTGCCGTTTGCTTCAAACGCCATGACGTTATCCACACAACTATTGAGTTCATATAGTGGACAATAGAATGACGTTTGAAGCAAAAGGTACTAGGTTCGAATCCTGGAGTGAACATCAACTCTGGGACACAGGTACATCAAGCCGACGAGTTCGAAATAGGACGAAACGCACTTCCTCCAGCTCAGTGCTAAACACCATGCATCTCTCTTCAAATTGCAACATCCAGTCAATCTTCGTAGGGCTCATATATACCAAGAGAAACCGATCAGTCAGAGTTCTAAACATCAATGGGAAAATTCGAGCAACCAATATATTTGAGATTATAATCTATTTGAAGAGAGATACACCAGTTTTAATGGATACAATCAATCAGTTTTAAATAATCATTATAATTTTACTACCTAGACTATCGGCAAATTCTATGCACTTGATATGAGATCAAACACATACATTTTGAAATTACGAAAACAATTTGCAGCTCAAGGGAACATTTTTGATGACATTTTGTTCTTTCACCTAAATCGTTGAACTGAGGAAATTTTTTTGTCAGTTTGGACATCTCTAGAGCCTACTTTAATCAGAAGTGATAAAAACAAATCAAGACAGAATTGTATACCAAGACAGTCATTTAAACGAACTGCTAAAGCAAATGTGGCATAACTGAACAGCTTATTACCAAGGTGATAATGAGAAAGCCCAGGAATTAAGTCATTTTTAGTTGGAAGAACACAAGACCACAGTATACGTACAAACAAATTAACCATCCGGTTCATGACATATAAAAAAGTAAGCAATAACAAATTCGTGCACTCATACTTGAGTTGCAAATAAACAGTAAACTGATTTCGAACTAATAATATACGATATGTTTGAGATTTTATAATGAAAATTGACATTAGGAACAAAATAAACGTTATTATATACACACGACCCGCATTCTACTTATAATTACTAATACAGAATAGATAACTCTGATATATCGTCCATCGATTTTACAGAAATACCTCGAAACCTGGTAAATTTCAGATTTTCAGTAACAAATGCAACTCATTTACAAAGTAAACGTAACTAAACACGCTTTTGACTCAAACTTTATTCTTGTGTCCGAAATCTAGAAACACTAACCGCCTCCGTCAACACATTTAAAAGAAGTACAGTTCAGACTTGGGGCCTGTTGAGTGCTTGAAACACTTGAATCAACAAAACGCAAATAAATAGTGTTTTATCCCGACGAGTAAAATGGATGGAAATTGTTGAGATCTATTTATGGATTAATACTAGCTAAACTATATATATTTATATTCCTCTTATTATAAACTCTTAAATCACCTATTAGTCACGGTTATATGATTTACTATTCTCAGTCTATTAGTCACAATTTCTCATAATCACGGCCACTTCTGGCTTGACCTTGCACAAATGTTATTTTGCTTATATATAAACCAAGCATGTTTGATTTATAGGATTCGCAATGCGGAGGCTGAGATTGGCGTTCTGGTCTTAATAAGCATGGTTAGGTGGAAAAAAGACCAATCGGAAGTCTGGGTTGTTCGTACGTGTGTAAGCGTCATTAATTTGGTCGTATAAGTCAGCGTATCTAAATTGGCAGTTGTATTTCGCGATTATCGTATAACTAAGGACATAACAAATAGTAAAAACAACTGATTGATTACTGAGCACAGACTAATGCCAGGTATGTTCAGTCGAATTTAATGTTATCATTAGTCTAAGAGAATAGACATTGTGTACACTGTGTTCTGTTGACCGATGTTTGAAGGTAGTGGGTAGGTAACATCTCAGAGTGCAAAGTTGCACCAGTTCCCCCAAGATTACAAGTAAACCCTGCTGAAGTGTCAAACTGCACGAAACCAAGGTCCAGGATTTTTACTAACTATCTGCAACTAGCTAACATTTAAACATTAGGAACAGCGAAATATAGTATTTTTTAATAGATTCAATCTACCATAAAAAAAGTGATACCTAATAACGATTTTTCAATTGTCAAATAACATTTTATATCACTGTGCACATTAAGTGACAAATTCCAAAGGACAGAAAAAAGTCTGGTGGTTTGGATATATTGTACAAGGTCTACAATAACCATTATAAATACACATATGTTAGTTATTAATTTTCTAAAAAAACATTCACATCTGTTATGTTACTACGAATTCCGTTAGCATGCTCATAAGATAGTTTATACAAACAAAGATTAACGGTGTTAGACTACTCGATGCACAAATTTCCGTTTTCAAAAACAAAGAGTTACTTTAGCGGTTATGAAATCTCTTCAAACCTATTTCCTACTATTTCAAATTCAACACGATGGCAGACGTTGTCACTAGCTCGATTTGGCTCAATGTTAAATACGTGAAACTATATAAGGGTCAGAATGGCACTATGTCAGGAAGAGAATTATCCAATCCAATAACAACATGGTCAATACATTTGTTGCTAATCCTTTACATTCCTTTACTACAATTTATTTCAATTAATGAATAACTTCACACAAGTATTACAATCCACTCAATATCAACAATTGAAAAACTACACCAGATACATTTTCTGACGTAAAATCACACCATAATAGCGTTATGTGGAGACAGAGTTGAGAATATATCTGAAAAATTGATTATTCACTAAAAGTACAACTTGATCACTCAA